GCAAAAGAACAAAATTGACGTGTTTTTGGATTTTTTGAAAAAGTAAATACCCTGGTCGTTATGCCTTGCGGAACGTTTTCGATGGGCCACCCTGTATAGTTAGAATATTGTGTTCTAGTGGGTTGATTTTGATGATTTTTTAAGCAATTTGTACCTAAATTATTTGACTTTTTAGTATTTCTTTCTAACTTAAAAATAAAAGTTTCCGCCAGTTATACGAGGGAAGACAAAATGTTGATATTTTGGTGAAAATTTGAAACATCATGTGGAATCTAAGTGTGGAATATGTTAACAAAGCAAGGAATTTAATCATTTTATCATCTAGGTACATCTTTTCTGGATAGTTTTTTATTCATCTCAATAACTTTATTTTTATTGGAGATATCCGCTTTTGAATAAGACGCTTTTTGATCAGTGATTTTGGGTCCTCACCAACACACTTATAAAATAGCGTTTATTGTTTTTGTAATGTCACTGTTATTGAAAAGTCATATTTTTATTGTTTATTGACGTTTGCTCTAGTAGAGATGGTTTTAAGTTCTCAAGTATCGGCTATTGCTGTTTTAATTGAGCATGCTAGAGATTAACTTTTGGACTTAAAACCGTATATGGTAGAGTAACTGCCCAACAGATAATAATAATATGATTTTTCAAAGACAGTTACATTACATGAAACAAACGCTATTTTATAGGTCTGTTGACTAGAACCTTACTAGAACCAACAACAAAGGCATATTGTAGAATGTAGAATGTTTAGGAAGGGAGTTAATCACCGCGACCTTATAGATCTATTGTGTGTTCCCCTTTCTTGAGTTATAACGAGTTATAACTCATCATACAGTCTCAGGGCTTTAAGAAAAGCCAGTATCTGAGACGGCTCCACAGAGGCCAGCTCTCCATCCTCGACATCAGACGTACTAAGGTTCATGGCACGAATGGTCGTCGTCTCGGTGCACTCAGTGATAAGGTGTTCTGGTGTTTCCCCATTTTCCCCACAAAATCTGCATTCGCCGTTGTTTCTCAGTTTCAGCCTACTGATGTGTTCGTTGAGGAGACAGTGTCCTGTTAGAAACCCCGTGACAATCCGAAGATTGTTTTTACTTAAATCAAGGAAAACCTTTGATTTTTCTCGGTCATAAGTTCTAAGGAACTTTTTCGAGTGTCTTAGACCGTTGGAGGACACCCATTCCAAGTTACGGATGGAGTCTTCCAGATTCTTCAGTTCCGCTTTCAGTTGGTTCCCAAAGGCATATTACAGTTGGGGTTATTAGGGAACAAAAATATTTTTTTAAGTGTATGGGCCTGGGTATTCAATAAAACAAGTGTATAAAATAAAATTAATATTTATTTCACTTAGATTTTCTGTAATGATAATAATATTAATAATGAATATTAACTGGCGATTAAGTATATATGCAATTATTTCGTTCCAATCGTCCGACTATAAAATAAAATTTAACCTTACCTCTACGTCCTGTAAAATATGTACAATTTATTTTTTATTTACAAAACTACTCACAGTCTTTAGATTATTGTCGTATTATCTACGAACTATAATAGAATACGATTTATATACAACAAAGTATCGTGTAGTCAAAAACGACGTGAAAGTAGGCTTAGAAATAACATTTATGTTTAAAAAAAATTAAAACATAAATATTTTTCAATTTTTTTTTATATTCTCATTTTAACTTAAGAGCTTCAAATAACTAACGATCAAGTATCATTGTTACTTGTCAAGAAAGCTCGAACTGAGATGTTAATTTTACGCCTACTTTGATCTTTTTTATATTGGATTACACAGGGTAATAAACTAATTGGATTGAATAAATACTTAAAAGAGTTATTTACATAAAAATGATGATATTTTAATCTATGCATTTAATATTTGGTTATGGGGCTTAATAAACTAGTACCTAAACAGTAAAGTTACTCAATAAATTACAACAAAATGTTGACAAAATGGCACTTCATGATCGGGATATTTATACAATTTTTATTTTATTTATACAATTGATTATATTAATAACGAAGTGTTTTGGATTTATAACAGCGTCTGGGTCTGCTGAAACACAATATGATCGAAAGTTTTTTGATCAAGTGTGTTTTGTATGATGACAGATAAACAATTCTTATGGGAAATTATTATTAGATTCGATTTTTCCAGCTGTCAAACTCAAAACCCGCTTGATCATCAAATTTATACAGGGTGAGTTTCCTACGATGTTCTCTATGGGTATCTCGGAAACTACTGGAGATAGAGAGTCGGTTAAATAGGGAAAGAATTGCAGTTTTGTGGGATCATAAATATGCGCCTTTCAGATTTTTGAAAAAGTTCATGGCTTACTAGATATTTAGAAAAAAACAAATTTCGGCTATTTAAAAAATTGTCCCTAATCCCATTATAAGCTATTTGAGACAAAAAGTTTTCAGATAAAAGTAATTCAGTATAAGTTGTAGAGAATCACATCCTTAATGAGATTGTGTCCTCCGTCTTTTTCTAAAGTCTGTCATTTTTGACATTTGACACAAACATATGTTTTTTTAAATGGAAACCATAGTTGGCCATGACTTTATAAAAATTGCCATTTTTTAAGCTTTTCGGCGAATAAGCTATAATATGTTTTCTTCGAAAAATTATCGAGTTATAGCCAATTCTTATCATTTTTAAATAATTTCACTTAGTTAGCCATGGAAACAATCGTCTTTGCTCTTATAAATGTGAAGCTGCCACATCCAAACTTTGTAAATTAAAATAAACAAAAATTGTAAATATGAATTTTTCAAATGAAGAAAAGCGTGTAAGATTATTGGTTCAACTTTTCTTGACCATACATTTTCGAGTATACGTTGACCGGTGAATGTTATGTTTTTTAGAGAACGATTTTCAAGACTTGTTAGAAAAGTTAAATTTAGTTATAGCCAATTCTTATTTCTCTTGACTAATTTCACTTAGATTGCATGGCATTTTTATTCTTTTGTGATTTATAACTTATATATAAAAAGTCAGAATATATTACTAAACGGTTCTTTAGAATTTACATTACACAAACTAAAACTTACTACCCCTCAGTTTATATTATTATGATATCAATAATTTTTAACATTTCTTTCATTATGCGGGGGGGGGGCATAATGAAAGTCTTTTTGGAAACACTCTATTGATGCGCGAGTATCTACACGCTTTTCTTCATTTGAGAAATTCATATTTACAATTTTTGTTTATTTTAATTTACAAAGTTTGAATGTGCCAGCTTCACATTTCTGAGAGTAACGGCGATTGAACTTGTTTCCATGGCTAACTAAGTGAAATTGTTTAAAAATGATAAGAATTGGCTATAACTCAGTAATTTTTCGAAGAAAACATATTATAGCTTATATCGCTAAAAACTTAAAAAATGCCGCTTTTTATGAAGTCATGGCCAACTATGGTTTCCATTTAAAAAAAAACATATGTTTGTGTGATATGTCAAAAATGACAGGCTTTAGAAAAAAACAGAGGACACGATCTCATTAAGGATGTGATTATCTACCACTTTTATCTGAAAACTTTTTGTCTAAAATAGCTTATAATGGAATTAGGGACAATTTTTAAAATAGCCGAAATTTGTCTTTTTCAAAATATCTAGTAAGCTATGAACTTTTTCATAAATCTGAAAGGCGCATATTTATGACCCCACAAAACTGCAATTCTTTCCCCATTTAACCGACTCTCTCTCTAACCGAATCTCCAGTAGTTTCCAAGATACCCATAGAGAACATCGTAGGAAACTCACCCTGTATAAGAGTTATTAATGTTTGATTTGGTTGAGAGGAGCTGCAATCGCAAAAAGTTGAATCAAATATATTTTCCTTGGTGATATTATGAGAAACCACTATATACTCATAAATGGCAATATATTTTTATTGATTGTACCGTACTATTTGATAATCAATTATTTTTAGCATTTTTAGTACATGTCAGTTGTAGTTAGATAGTTTTAGATTTTAATACAGGGTGCTACAAATTCGAGGTACGAGCATTGGCATCTCGGAAACCGTAATAGATACGAAGATGGTTAAATTTGGGCAAAGTTGCGCCTTGGGCTGTTCACCAAGATGCCATCAAAAAAGTTTTAAAAATTTCAAGGCTTGCTAAGTTTTTTTGGAAAAAAACGGTTATTTTTGAAAATCAATTTTATTGTCGATACTTTTTTAGAAAATCAAAAAACTAATTACACATTCTCATAGCCACTTAATTAGGGCTATCTGATAGTATTTTTAGATTTTCAAATCAGCTGATAATTTGTGAGATACAGAGGCCAACTTATTTTTTTAATAAGTAGTAGTAATCCATTACGGTTACCGAGTTATACCAATGCTCATACCTCGAATTTGTAGCACCCTGTATACATAGAAAATAATAATATTTTGAAAAACTGACAATTTAACTTTTTAATTATATTCTTATGCCGAAACTTAAAGCTGGCCTCACACTATTAGTATTATTGAAAATATATTTACAAAAACTGTCAGTAATATTGACCGTGTGAGGGTGAATACTGATGGTGTCTCCAAATGGTGATATTCAGTGATATACTTTGACAATCCTGAAGTATTTTAGGTGGAGCCAAAATATTGGTGAAAGTACTGATCGTCTGAAGGTAAACCATTAGTACTTTCATAAAAAAAACGGGTATATTTATGAGTTTACTTTTGACGCTGAGCTATCTATTCTAATTCTATGATCCAACGTTTCTTTTCTTTCTTGCGTTGCAAAGTTGTTGCATAGTACAAAATAATGGCAACATGTGCCTTTTGTTTATTATTCTTTTTTTTCTAAATAAAAAACAGTAGCTGGTCGCAGTACGAACAGTTTAAAGCTTGATTTTCATGCGTCGGTTATCCGTTGATACGATGGTCCGATATTAATTTTATTGGTTGACTTTAAAGACTTCAATTGGTTAGAAACGGTTATCCAATCAAAGTCTTTAAATTCAACCAATAAAATTAATATCGTATCATCGTATCGTCGGACAACGGATGCATGAAAATCAAGCTTAACCCCTCAAAAGTCACAATACTGTTTAAATACTGATCGTATAACGTCTATTTAGAAATACTGATGGTATACTAACAATATTCAATACTGTCAATATTATTGATGGTGTGAGGACCGATTAAACAAATACATTTTTATTTCTTCGTTGTTCCCCAATGGCTTTAAAAACATTATAAAAAACATAAATAATTGTGCATTTAATATAATTTAAACTGTAACCGCAATTGATTTCTTTCACTAAACAAATTTAAATTAAGTATATTAATGTTTTAAAATTAAGTAAATAATTTTATTATTGCATTATTGCATATGCATAGTGATGTTTATCTTTAAAGGAAATATCTAAAGACAGATATTTTTTTTATTTGTTGAAATGTTTGATACTAATCAATACTCATTCTTTATATTCTCGTACTATTTTGAACTTTTATTTGTCCTTATCTTTTAGTGTTCATATCTGTCAGATCAAAACATCCAAATTTGGATATAATTGTGTATAGGTCAATATATAAATAATAATAATATATTATAAAGGCTGTGAAAATTCGAAATTCATTTAGTACTATAGATAGTATTACTATCTACTAGTATTCTAGTATTCTAGTTCTAATTATTCAGTATTAGAATACTGAATAATTTTCGACATAATTCAGAAACTAAAAACATCGGTTAAACCCCTCGAATTTTTGGTACTACCCAAGTACTTATAGCGAATGCTTTCCAGACTTTGCTTCTTATTCGGGGTGACACAACGTTTCCAAAAAGCTCTATATTATTAACGTAGATTTATTTATCTTGTTCTTTTATTATGTGTAACCTTGGTTACGCATAACAGTTTTGACAGGAAATAGATTATTTTCTGATGTTTACTTTGGACAGTATTATTTTAATTCCACTAAACCTGAGGCCCTTAAAACATTCAGAAGTGGGATATTTATTTTGGATAAATAAATCTACGTTAACAATATCAAGTTTCCGATGTAAGATTTTTACACCAATATGTTTTATAAAATATGCGAACAATGTTATCACACCTTATAAAAATATGTTGTCAATATACAGGGCGATTCAAACATATTTAACATATTTTCAAATTATAATTGTCTATTTTTTTTAAATTTGACCATATTTTAACTAAATCCAGCTTATTGGTCGTTGTTTAACTGTTGAGTTTTGACAGTCAGGTGTAGTTTTGAGAAATTTGATGCATTTGTTGGATACGAAATAGTCGCGTCAAACTGCTCGTGCTGAGTCGGCCTGCCTATATGCTTTTCAGCATCTTAAAAATAACAATGGCAAGTAAAATTTATCACACTAGGTATATAAAACCAAAAATTTTGCTCTTCTCATATTCCATGATATTTTGTTTGATTTTTTTAATTTTCTTCATTATTCACTCCACTTGGTTCTGTTGTTGGTATCACTACTATGTTTTATTCAGATCATACTTTAATTTTTGCTTTAGTGCACGTATTAATTAGTCAACTGATATTGCTGCATATCCGGCGTTGTTCACCGGATGATGTCCATAACCTCTTGTTTGAAATCGTTTTGGCGCCCAACGTTGGGCGTTGCCCAGGTCGCACCTTGATGGTAAGAGGGGCTGTTGATTACGAAACAGGTATTCCTCAAAGGAAACACACCGTGGCTGCAGGCGGATTAGTACACCCAGCTGATTGAGAGACAGAGACAGCTTCCCAATCTGTAGTAGTGAGTTTTTTTCGTTGGTACGCTTTCAGTCGAGTTACTGGACGATGAGGCGCTGAATGGTCGATTCTGGGAGGATACTGATTACGCTAGGGCAGAATAAGAGGCATCTGAGTCGTTGTAAGAGTAGTAAGACGCGAAATAGCCGCGTGTTAACTGCCCATGTTGATTCGGCCTAATAAGTTTTTCAGATCCGTAAATACAATGGCAAGTAAGTAAGATCTTAGTTAGAGATCGAATTTATCACAACACGTTAGGTACATAAAACCATTGCTGTTCTCATATTCTATGATACCTTCTGTTTGATTTATTTTTTTTCATATTCGCTTCACTGGTTCTGGTTATCACTACTATGCTTTTTTCAGATTATATTTCCATTTTTGCTTTAGTGCACGTACTCATTAGTGAGCTGGTATTGCTGCGTATCCACTATAACACTAGTATACCCGGCGTTGTGTACCGGATGATGTCCAAACTCGTGTTTGAAATCGTGATGGTGTCCAACGTTGGGCGTCGCCCAGGTCGCAGCCTGATGGTGAGAGGGACTATTGGTCGCGAAACAGGTATTTCCCAAAGGAAACTCACCGTTGGCCGCTGGCGGATTGGTCCCCGCAGAGACACCCAGCTGACTGAGACCATTTCCCAGCTGGTAGTGATGAGCTTTTTCCGTTGGAACGCTTTCGGTGGAGCTACAGCTGGACGATGAGGCGCTGAAGGGTCGATTCTGGGAGGATACGGATCCAGTGAGGGCGGAATAAGAGGCCTCTGGGTCGTTGTAAGAGTAGTATAGGTCGGGGTGGTTGTAGTAGGGTGACGAGTCGTCGGATGGGGCTTGAACGAAGAGTACGTTGCCTCCTGAAAGAAACTTAATGTTAAATTTGTTATTCTTCCACCTACGGCTACTATATGTAAAACTGTCAAAAACGTACTATCTACTTTGGCAAAATACCCGGCAACAAACATTAAGGAAAATGGAAATCACATATCGTATGATCGAAAAAAAATGGCGTCCAGTTGGCTGGGAAATGACGATCGATGACATTTCCCTTATAAATTTACATATAAAATGACAGCGATCTTCATTTCATAGCCATCGCTGACGCCGTTTTTATTCGATCATACGGTACTATGGCAACAACTGTTTATTAATAAAGCAACAATTCAATTCGAAAATTCTGTCATAAAATACTGTCACATTCACATTACTATTAAAATTTCTGTTTCAAATTATTGTGCTTTTAGGGTTATAGATTATAGGTAGTGGTAAAATATCCATAGCACCTAATTTCGTGTTGCAAAACATGTTACGCACTAGTGCAAGACTAGGCTCAGATAATTTCCATTTGAGTCAAAACAAATAGTTCGTGGTTCCGTGTGGATAGAAAGTCTAATTTATTTAAAACACAATTTATTTTACACTAAGTTACAAAACAGTAACGATAAAATTACTTAAAGAACTATTTACAACTTATTTACTATTTCTCTAACTATTTATCTAAAAGGAATTTATTTTGAATTTAGCGCGGCAACTGTACGCGTCGACCGATTTGTTTGTTTCCGTCCTCCTCAGGCTCCAGGCGTCGGGTTATATATGAGAGAAACAGACAGTCCAGATTTTACTCGAATGTTTTTAGCCGCCGCGCCGTTCTCTGCCTCTCCAGATTATTCCATTCGTTCTCGAATGGGGGCGGGGCATATTAGTCAGGTTAGGCCGATTCCACACGGGTCCGCAACAATACATACCTACTAATATCGAATAACTTTATCTACTATTAGGTATAACTTCATCAATTTTTATATTATGCCTCTACTATTAGATTTGAGATTTATATACCGGGTGCTTCTCGAAAGTTTTTCAGAAAAAAAAACGAAATTTGGTATGTTAGTATATGACATTTGGTATGTTAGTATATGACATATGACAAAACAATTGAATACGTCAATAAATTAGAATTTATTGACGTATTCAATTGTTTTTGGCCTTTCTGTTTCACCGAAAATCACTAATCACTACAACTTTTGATTTTGAAATGACATCCCCGATATTTTTTACTTTATTCGATAGAAAATAACACTTTGAATTGAATGACACATCATAGGTCAACTTTTGATATTTTCGCATATGGTCTATTTGAAATTGTAACATGCGGTTCATAATGACAATTTGACTCGAAATACCAAGTGTGTGGTACCAAATTATTCTTTTTTTCCAAATAGTATGCTGATGAGCCACCCTTGTTCCATTTAGGAAAATTGAGATATGATTAAATATCCGATTTGGGCATTTCTTAACCGGTCAGGACAAGACACGAAAAATATTAAACGATTAAATCTATTTTTCCAAGGCTCCTTGATTAAAAATTAGTGTTTTTAACATAGCCATGGCACTCTAGATTAAAATTTTAAATACGATTTTTTTCACCGGACATGTCAAAAGTTGACATATGATATATACAGGGTGGCCCATCGAAAACGTTCCGCAAGGCATAACGGCCAGGGTAATTTTTTTTCAGAAAATTCAAAAACACAATTTTGTTTATGAGGGGGACAACTTTTGTCCCAAAAATGATCGCAAAATATTCAACCCTCTAAGCGGGGGTGTCATCCCCCAATTTTTTTCAAATGGGAAGGGGAGTCAAGTGGTACCGCAATGAAAAGGGCTGTCTATTCTCTATACTTTCCCGCTTCGTTTTCGAAAATCGGTCGAGTCATTGAGAAAATATGAAGGATTGAAATTTGAAAAGTTTATTTAAACATTTATCAGAGTAAATGATAAGGATAAATTCCTTCGACCAATTTGCTGTTTTTTCTTATTATTTCTAGATGTTTACGCATTTTTTCACTTGCCACAAGGTTGACGATCAGGTTAGGTAGAGTGTACTTTCTTTTTGAACGGTGTAGTTAATCGGCACAACTGTCGGTACTGGGTTGAGGACAACCCCAGGGTTTTTCACGAGGTGCAGCACACACAAAACCCTCAGAAATTTAAAGTGTGGGCTGGTATTTTTAGAAATTCGATTGTGAGTCCTTTTTTTCTTCCTGGAAATCTAACAGGTGATATGTACTTGGATTTACTGGAAAATACCATCGACCCAGCCCTAACTGACATCATAGAGAACAATCCTGGATACGTTGAAGCAGAACTAATATTTCAACAAGACGGTGCACCTCCACATTACTCTCAAAATGTGCGTAATTATTTAAACAATAACTTTCCCGGTCGGTGGATAGGACGAAGGAGTGCAATTGAGTGGCCTCCCCGGTCACCCGACTTGATTCCTTTAGACTTTTTTCTATGGGGACACATAAAAAGTAAAGTGTATAGCACTCCACCCGCCTCATTAGAAGACCTGCGAAGAAGAATTATTGATGTTTGTCGCGAAGTGACCCCGCAAGTTCTTCAGAATGTTCTAGAACGGATTTAAAATAATTTGTTTTACTGTATGGAGGTTGACGGGCAACATTTTCAGCATTTGCTTCATTAATAAGATAAGTTTTTTTTAATTAATTCAATTTAAGCGTTTTTTGCAAAAAGTACTTTTCAAATTTCAATCTTTCATATTTTCAAAATGACTCAACCGATTTTTAAAAACGAAGTGAGGAAATATAGAGAATAGAAAGCCCTTTTCATTGAGACGCCACTTGACCCCCTTCCCATTTGAAAAAAGTTGGGGGATAACACCCCCGCTTAGAAGATGGAAGATTTTGCTATCATTTTTGGGGCAAAAGTTGTCCCCCTCACAAATAAAATTGACGTGTTTTTAGGTTTTTTGAAAAAAAAAATACCCTAGCTGTTATGCCTTGAGGAACGTTTTCGATGGGCCACCCTGTATATTTCATGTTCTATCGAATAAAGTAAAAATATACCGAGGGCGCCGTTTAAAAATCAAAAGTTGTAGTCATTTCCGGTGAAACTGGCAGTGACCAAAAACAATTGAATACGTCAATCAATCCTAATTTCTGTCATATACCAAATATCGTTTTTTTAAGTGAAAAAATATAAAAGTTATAGTGGTGAGCCAATTTTGAGACGCACCCGGTATAGACATTATTTGTATTAATATTTATTTAGCATTCTAACTCTCAGTTAAAAATTTTTAGACAGTACGACGTGTAACTAAGAAGGCGTTTTTCGTTCAACTTACCATGATTGTATTCAAAATGACCCGAATTGGCGCCATTCGAATCACTGTACCGATCGGACTCTATAATGGCGGTACTTCCAGTAAGTCGAGTACTGCCTCCACCACTACCTGTCTGCGGTGACGCGTGGGGGTTGTACTTGAGAGAATTAATAGAGCGCGTGGGAGTTGTGAGAGGAGAATGTCCTTCTAGGGGCGACCCTGGTACTTCTTCCTTCGGCGCTGATTGGGTCGTATTGATTATAAGATCTTTGGCTTCGTTCTCACTGTAATAAGGTAAGATCTAGAGTTAATAGAATAAAGTAAGTTAAGATTTTAATTATACAGAGACTGCAAAGAAATTTTTACGGTATCGTTTCAACAAAATGTATTTTAATCATTCATCAGAACATAACTGTTATGACAGCATATTAAAAAATATGGCTTTACATTATGGAGGGTAGCGGTAAGGAGAAACATCTCTTATGGGACTTTGTTTGAAAAAGTGGTCACCTAAAAGGGAAGAAAATCCTTTATGGGTATTTCGCCACTGCTGTGCCACTGCACTGCAAGAAATAGATGAATCCGCCACATAGGTATAGACATTTTTTAAAAGGGAAGAATTAAAGTTTCATTCAGAACCTCGCAATTAGTGCAATAAATTAGTGGTTTCAATTAGTTTAGAAGTTTGTTCCTTTCATTTCAATGTAAGCATTCAGAACGTCAAAATTAGCGGCAGACATTTTCAATTAGTGGAAAAAGTTATCAAACTTTTAACTTTTCAACTAATTATACTTCAAAGAAATGTCATTTTGGCCTTTGATTATCTTCCGTCAAGGGAAATTGTGGTTAGAAATCAAAACTTGATTGTTTTATAAGCTAAATATTTGGCTTTCTCTATGGATACAACTGACTAACGCAAGCTGATGTTGCTAGGATATTCTATTCATTTTAATTGTGTTTTTTAAACATTTTAAATGATCGTAAACTAAAAAGTATAAAGTGTAGTTGAAACCATTAATATATTCCACTAATTGCGAGGTTCTGAATGAAGCTTAAGGCAATTCATTGCATATTTATCTATCTCTTTTTTTTATTTCCAGTTTTAAAAATTTTTGCCACTCCTTTCAAATGTAGAACTTTTGCTACAGCAGCAGCATCTTAATTGTTCCCTTTTATAACCACTTTTCAATACACGAAGCTAATTCTCCTTACGCTTCATACTTTACATACAGCGTATGTATTTCAGCAGAAATTTGATGAAATATACACTCACCGGCACGAAAAACGGGCACCATAAGATTTTGGTATATTTTAAAGTTTAATATAGGTACAGTATGTCCCCGAATTGTCTTTACAAGAGGAAAAGCTTTTTATTATTAACATTTTGAGAAAAATCCATTCTTCATAAAAAAATGTGCTTGTTCTAAAATTGTTAATCCCGTTTATACTTTTCAAAATTTCCATACCGTTTTATAGAGAAAATTAAGAAAAACATGAAAATATGGTTGAATTTTTGAGAAACGCGTTTAAATTTTTAGGACTTAAACTTCATTCAGAACCTCGCAATTAGTGGTTTCAGTTAGCGTAGTAGTTTCTTCACCTATTTTTAATGTAAGCATTCAGAACGTTATAGTTAGTGGTAGTAATTTTCAATTAGTCGAAAAAGATAATAAAGTTTTGACTTTTCCACTAATCATACTTCAAAATTTGCGACGAATGTCATTTTGGCCTTTGATTATCATCTGTCAAGAAAAATTTTGGTTAGAAATCAAAAGTTTATTGTTTTATAAGCTAAATATACCGTATGATCGAATAAAAACGGCGTCAGCGATGGCTATGAAATGAAGATCGCTGTCATTTTATATGTAAATTTATATGGGAAATGTCATCGATTGTCATTTCCAAGCCAACTGGACGCCATTTTTTTTCGATCATACGGTAGTTATAAGCTAAATATAGTTATGCTTTCTCTATGAATACAGCAGACTACCGCAAGCTGTTGCTAGGATATTTTATTAATTTTAATTGTGTTTTTTCTTTGAATAAGAAGACTAAGGAAGGAGCATAATGCTATCCATGTATTCATGCATGGTGGGCGGAAAAGGCACCATAAAAGCTCTCTAGGGTGGGGATCCTTGACAGTTCTGTTTGACGATTCATTTGACACATTTGAATTTGATTTGAAATTTTGTGGATTTGTCAGTCTTTATGGAGCTTATTTTATGTTATTTATTATATATTCTACTACTGATAGTTGTATAAAGGTAGTAAATCTAGATGGAAATTGTGGCAGAACTTAAATTAACAGTGACACTATCACTTGATTTATCGAAAAAGACTCTAAAATAGTTGGTTGTGTAGCGTACGGTAGATCTCGGCAAAAATTGAGTGAAATAATGGAACAACTTTTCGCTAGTAAGTGACTATATAATATACATACGTGTAGTAAACCGATCATTTATGAAATTCACTTAAATTAACTAAATTATATATTTTTCTTGCATTTTAGCTTTTATTTATTACTTGTCTAATTTAGATACGTTAATTTGACTTACCTGCTTCAGTAGCGTATCGGATGTTTGTGTTAATAAATACTTATTATAACTTATCTATTTTTATTAGAATTATATATTTTTATAACAATTTTAATAACTACCAACATTTATTCACAACGTAAAATAAAACAACAAATTATTGAGTCTACCCCAAGTCTACCCTACATCATAGTTTTACATTTTTTAAATAAAATTAGAACGACACTGATAAACCGGAATTTAAGTCGGCCATATTTGAGGCCCATCGCGGTGTACCTAAGATTTTTGATATGCTCCTTCCTTAGTCTTCTTATTCAAAGTGTTTTTTAAACATTTTGAATGATCGTAAACTAAAAAGTATAAAGTGTAATTGAAACCACTAATTGCGAGGTTCTAAATGAAGCTTTAGGAAAAATCAACCATAATATTCTCATGTTTTTCTTAATTGTCTCTTCTAAAACGGTATGGAGATTTGGAAAAGTATAAACGCGATTAACCATTTTAGAACAAGCAAAAATTCTTATGAAGAATGCATTTTTCTCAAAATGTCAATATTAAAAATGTTTTTTTCTCTTGTAAAGACAATCCGGGGACATCCTGTATTTGGTTCTAATGGGTCGATTTGGATAATTTTTTAAGCAATTTGTAGCTAAGTTATTTGGCTTTTTAGTGCCTCTTTCTAAATTAGAAATGAAAGTTTCGAAAGAAATAAAAAACACATACGTAATGTTGAAAAATAAAAACATAATGTTGATATTTTGGTGAAAGTTTGAAGTTTGAAACACCCTGTGGAAGTAATTAACAAAGCAAGAAAATTAAAATGAAAAAAATAATTTTATCATCTAGGTAGGTACGTCTTTTCTTGATAGTTTATTTTTTGATTCATCTCAATAGCTTTTCGCTTTTGAATAAGGCAGTAACCATTTACAGCATTTTTAGCATTGATTTTGGGTCCTCATCAACACACTTATAAAATAGTGTTTATTGTTTTTGTAATGTTACTGTCATTGAAAAGTCATATGATTGTTTATTTACTTTTACTCTAGTAGAGGTGGTTTTAAGTTCTGAAGTATCGGCTTTTGCTGCTTTAATTATCATGGTAGTCTTTGAAAAATCATATTATTGTCTGTTGGGGCAGTCAATATCATCAGTGATATTACAAAAGCAATAAACACTATTTTATAAGTGTATTGATGAGGACCCAAAATAAATGTTAAAATCGTTACTGAACTGTCTTATTCAAAAGCGAATATCTCCAATAAAAATAAAGCTATTGCCATAAATCAAAAAACAAACTATCGAAAAAAGACGTACCTAGATGATAAAATGATTTTTAAGTTCCTTGCTTTGTTAACATATTCCACAGGGTGTTTCAAACTTTCACCAAAATATCAACATTTTGTTTTCCCTCGTATAATTGACAGACGGAAACTTTCATTTTTAATTTAGAAAACGATAATAAAAAGTCAAATAAATTAGCTACAAATTGTTTAAAAAATCATCGAAATCGGTCCATTAGAACAAAATATATCCAACTTTAAAATATATCAAAATTTTAAGGTGCCCGTTTTTCGTCTCGGTAAGTGTAGTTTTGGTCTTGCTCTTGCTTTTTGTGCAAGACCAAGACTAAGACCACTCTTGCCCATCACTACCCTATAAGTAAACATTGTGTAGCTCAGTTTCAGTAATTAGAATTTGCTTCTTAAATATTCACCTCAATACGTAGTTCACTGAAACTATACAGTGTGGTCTTGAAGATCGTGAATTATGAACTATTGTGGCGTAACTCTGCATCCATACCCACCCACCTCCTTTACAAAGAAATCGGTAGTATTTGCTGGTAACTTGGCCTTTACATAATACTGAAACAAAAACGTAGTTACGTTCATAAACGTAGTAAAAAACTTATTCTTATCTTTAAGTTTCAATTATCAGGTACTAATTACAATTCATTGTGTTGTAATATTTTACATTTTTTGATGATCAAAAATATATATGACAACATGAATGTGATAGATTTGGGTCCTTATGTTATACAGGGTGGTCTGAACTGTATTCCGGAAACTCCGGCAGCATATTCTGCAGATAAAAATAAGTAAAAAAGTTGGTATAAATGTACGTCCTAAAATGCTTAATTTCGGAGATACAGGGTGTAGAAGTTTCATTTCTTTTTCATTTTCACGTCAATATTTGGATGAAATTGGTGTCTGGGAGTTTTTTGACATGAGAAATTTGATTTTGATGTCAATATGACTCCTAATTAGGAGATTGTAGAGGGTGCCACCTACATATTTTTTAACTGGTTTGAAGAGTAATAAATTCTTCGTCCTAACCTGTATAAAACTACTGAGTAAAAAATATACATTTACGACATTTTTCACGTAAAAATGGTCTCTGGGTAAAAATCGTTGCGAGTAATTGTTCTCGAGATATTTGGAATCGAAATTATCAATACCTGTCATCATTGACATAAATTAAACATGTTGACTAAATAGTTATTAGACTAAATGATGGACATTAATCTGATTTTTAATTCGCAAAATAGTGTTCGTTTTGGATTAAGCCATATATAAAATATATAGATAAACCTATTACATTAATAGCAAGCCATATGTTCGTTCTTTAGGGTAAATAAAATTAACGACACTTGGAGGCGATGTTATTAGACTAATACAAACGAAAACAATAATCTGTTATTTGCCTTAGAAGCGATATTTTCCGCTAAAGCTCCCTTTTTCGCCCCAGTACAATTCAATAAACGAGATTGAGGGGTTGAGTCCGGCTCTATAGACGATAATAAACGGCCGTAATCCGGGATTTTCTGACTTTCGTAGGAAAATATGGAAATTCGTAATATAGAGATTTATTAAAACAGTACCGCGAACAAATAAATGTACCAATAATAAAAATATAAAATATATATTCCATTTGTTTAAGTCAATGACAGATCGATAGGTCTTAAACGAGTGACTTAAAAGGAGTCTTAAACGAGTACAGTTTAATTACTCTCTAATTTGAGTCTCAACTCTCAACTAGGGTTTCCAATTTTCGGGATTGGGGATCCCGTTTTGAAATCCCGGGATTAGAACCTATAATCCCGGGATTGACTATCAGATATTCTTTAATTCAATAAGAATCCTGCTCACTGCATTATTTATGTCTTTCAGTATACGTAAACAATTAGAACAGGTGTAATATTTCAAACGTTTACTATCTATTACAGATATAAATATTTATGAGTTGTTTGTAACATACAAAATGGTGGAATTTGATTATTTTACATGAATATTGTAGACATACATATATTTAGAAAATATGTTCAATATGGTACAACCATTATACGAATACATGCTTTTTTAGAGATTCCTAATAAAAGAAATATCGGAAACGCTTAGACATATTGCAAGAATTACAAAATTGAGTGTCTTTCAATTTAAGAATTTCTTAACAAAGCAGAATCGTTGGAAAACAAGAAAGAGTTTGTTGTAAATGTGATGCCGTATTATTGTTGAAGAGAAAAATTGATTTTTTATTGTACAACTCGGCGGACATATTCATACACAAAAGATTTAGCTGTGATTGTGATTTTGTAAACTGGGACCGTGATTTCTATCTGCGAGTTTGAAATTTTAGGAATTGCGATTTGCGGAATTGGTTCGAATGTAATTTTATGGTCTATTGATAATTGAAACATTTTATAGTAAACTGCGATTGAATTTTCTCTCTGATATTATTTATTTATTCTTGCTTCGCTTTATCATCACCATTACAAATGATTAATTCGACGCGAACGAAGTCGCTGGTACACGCTAGTTTATTTATAGAGAAGGTATTATTTTCTAGGGCCACGATCAATAAAATACCGGGTGTTTCTCAAGAGTGGTTTACCTCTATAACTTTTTATTCTTTTTCTGATAAAAACGAGATTTGGTATGTTAGTATATGACATAAATTAGGATTGATTGACGTATTCAATTATTTTCAGTCAATTCGTGTTTTACCGGAAATGACTACAACTTTTGATTTTTAAATGACACCCTCGGCATTTTTTTACTTTATTCGATAGAAAATGACACTCTACAATCACGAATGGCATATCATGTGGCAACTTTTGACATTTTTGCTTAATAAACGTATTTTAAATTTCAATCTAGAATGTCTCATGGCTGTGTTAAAAACACTCATTTTAATCAAGATGCCTTGGAAAAATAGATTTAATCGTCTATTGTTTCTCGCGTCTTGTCCTGGCCAGTTAAAAGATGCCCAAATCGCATTTTTAATCATATCCCAATTTTTTCAAATGGAAGGATGGCTCATTGGCATATTTAGAAAAAGCATTTTTTTGCCAGTAATTTGGTTTGGTGAATATTAAAATCGCAATCGCAGGTTACAGTCGCTGCGATTTAAAAATCGCAATCGCAGTTTTGCTCATCCCTACCATTTATTGAAAAATCTTCAATTTTATTAGTAATATTCATCCTTAACAGTACACACCCTTCTACCAGCCGTTTATTCTCATAGAACCCCATTAATGCACTCCGTTCCCGGCGCGCGATCTATCGGAAATCACGGCACCAGTTTCAGTCCTCGACAAAACCCACGCCCCCCCTACTCTGTTTGTTTTAGCTATTGAATGCTAAATTTTCCGGATAGCGGGGCCTCGATCCTCTCCGTGCCTGCCGTAGGGATGGTAATCTTGTAAAAGCACTCACGAGAAACGGCGACAGGGTTTAGATTTGGAGAGATGTAAATCATCGTGCGAGACGCAGTGGCGTAGGGTTATAGATGGCAGGGTGGGCGGGAGGGACATTATTTTAAGGGTGAATAGGAAGTCGTCTGTTAGGAAAACGAAGTTTAACTAGTGCTAAAGTAAATTAAGGCTAAAACAGTTTACCGAAAAAATTATTTTTTGTAAATATAATATTTACCTACACTCCTGGAATTGCCGCAAATAAAAGTCACTTCTGTGAGGTATTTTGATGAGAAATACACTTTTTGGGCACGAAAAACGGGCACCTTACAATTTTGATGTATCTTAAAGTTTAGTATATTTTGTTCTAGCTGGCCAATTATGATGATTTTTTAAGCAATTTGTAGCTAAATTATTTGACGTTTTAGTACATCGTCCGAAATTAAAAATGAAAGTTTCCGTCTGTCAATTCTACGAGGGAAACAAAATGTTGATATTTTGGTGAAAGTTTGACACACCCTGTGGAGTACGTTAACAAAGCAAGGAATTTAAAATCATTTCACCATCTAGTTACGTCTTTTCTCGATAGTCTGTTTTTTTTCTTCTCAATAGCTTTATTTTTATGAGGTTTTTTCTGATTAGTTTATCGATATATTTTTAACTTGCTTAAACTTGCCTTAAAATATGTAGCACTTACAGTAACATTTATCCTCAAAATTTCATTCGAATCGCTAAAAGTACTTGGAAGAAAATTATAATAAATTGAAAGTTTATTAAGAACACCCTCTAGCTACGAAACAAAGCAGAATCGGACCTATGTATGTTGATATGTTGATATGAAAAATAAATCTTATTTTTACGTGGGGAATCTCCCCACGAGAGATGGCACATGTTTTTTGAAACACCCTGTATAGCACTTTAAAAAACATGAAAAATTTAAGGTGCCCGTTTTTCGTGCCGGTGAGTATACATATCTAATAAATCAAAATACAAGAACGACTTGTATTTTTTCAAGATACTTATTCTTTGTATAAATAAAATTATAAAACAAAGTAAATTAAAATATATCTTACATTTTTTAACTGCTGGTACTTACGTTGGTGGTGTGAGTATCGCATAGCAAAAATGTCGCTTCCGTGAATGTAATGATATAAAGTTTTTTCTATTAGGTCTTGAGGTTCGTAGCCGGTTAGTTGGGCCACTCTGTAAATAAAATATATCTCTATTAGCAGCGTCAAAGGTATTACTCGTTTAGTATAATATAATAAATTATAAGTCAATTAATACAACTATCCTAGATGTATTTAGTTGTCAACGGTGATTCAAACTTCGTGATTTAGGTTAGGGATATTCAATATTCCATGGGTATATTGGCAAATGAGGTCTAAATTATAAAAAAATGCATTTTCTACGAAAACTTGAAGATATAGGTAAACAATGGTATAATACAATTTGATAGATAATTAAATTGTGCATCTGATTCTCGTAAAATATACATGATGTTCTATTTAAATTAAAGAAGTTATTGCCGTTTAAAGGTAGTAATTATTTAAAATAAATTTTTAGGCACTCTGTATAAGGTAGTATAACTTTTATTATTGTAACACAAAATCTAGGAAATAGAAAAACTTCAGTACAATATTTAGTTTTAAAAACTTAAAACGCCTACAGAAATGAAGCATTAAAATTGTTACTGTAGGTATTTTGACAAAAACGGTAAGATTAAAATGCGGTAAACCTTAACCAAATCTACTTATATTTTAATCGTAGAAACTAAAATGGTAATATACAGGGTGTTTTATTTAAAAAAATTCAACTTTGATATTTTTTATTTATTTGGGCCACTCTGTATCTTGTAAAAACATTTTTAAATGGTAGCTCTAATAGTCCTTCCACCTAAAACTTAACAATTTGTAAAAATCTAATCGTTTAGATAAACGAAAGCTATATAGCTACAATACTCCGTGTCGTATGGGGTGAATAACCCTGTATATTCTATCTTAGTTCAACGAGAAATACAATTAAGTTTAAACTTTGATACTTTTGTGTATCCAAAACTGAAAGTTGTAAAAATGCGAACGTGTAAGAAAAATAATATAATATATTATTTTAGAGTTCCCCTGTATACTGAACACGTGTCCGGTTCAGGAAGTTGTACCGATGACGCAGTCCGGTGTCAAATTTCGCCCTTATTGTTTAACAATCACTTCGAGTGGTTAAAAAAAACGTGGCAGACAAGCGGAGTGTTTTTCTTGTCAATATAATTTGGTACAGAACGATGAGGGACGCTTCCCTTAGAAGGGTGGTCGTGTTGAATGGGTAATCGATGTTTTTTATTCAATCGATTATGTAACGGGTGGCCAACTAAGAATGGACGCCGGCTGTATCTCAGAAACTACTTATAGTATGATCTTGGGAAAAAAATTGTTATCGTCTACGAAAAATCGCTGAAAACTATTTTCAAGTTCGAAAAATGTCCGCTAGGGGGCGTATCTGTGATGGCCAATGGGAAAATTTTTCTCAAAAATATGCAGGTGAAGAGGTATTTTAAATACTGCTAATTGGTAATCAATATGGAATTTGTATTATAAGCTATTTTGCTTATAATCTCTTTTAAATGAGCTCTAGTTTGTTTAAATCGGCTATCGGCTAACCCAAACCAGAGTTTTCCTTATTTAAATAAAAGAAAGTTTAACTTTCCCTCACCACTTTATTTATGAGATAGAGCAAAATACGCTATACCAAAAAAATTACAAATTTTCCATTGACAGCAATGGCAATATTTAAAATACCTTTTCGCCTGCATATTTTTGAGAAATATCCTGTTTTCTGATTGGTCATCGGAGAAACGGACATTTTTCGAACTTGAAATTAATTTCCAGCGATTTCCCTTGACCGATTTACTTATTACAATTTTTATCCCAAAGTTATACGATAAGTAGTTTCTGAGATACAGCCGGCGTCCATTCTTAGTTGGCCACATACATGGATACATAGGCCTGAGAAAAATATTTATGATTTGACAATTTTTATTGTTGTTGATAGCCGCACGTCCGACATATTATTACCAGGCTGAATAAAATATAAAAAAGGAGATTTCATTTTTATTAAAAAATGTCTATACTTACCTATGTGGCGGATTCATCTCTCCAAAAAAATCCTATATGGGTATTTCGCCACTGCACTGCAAGAAAATTCATTTTTATTAATCCATTTCTATGTTTTTGACTGAAATTTTTGAAACTATATAAATCGGTTCCTGATAGGAGGGAAGTTAATCTCTGCTACCTTATAGGTCTATTGTATCCCTCTTTCTTGAGTTATAACTCACCATTCAGTCTCGCTTCATTCACTTTCAAGGCTTTGACAAAAGGCAGTATCTGAGTCAGTTACAGAGGTTAGTTTTCCATCTTCGAGCAACGGCTCAGCTACGTCGAAACACCGGTTCCCATTAGAACACCGAAGTTAAGCGACGTAAGGCGATACTAGTGAATGGACGGGTGACCGGTTCGAAACTCTGTATCGTGCTGTTGTCCAACTTGCTGTTAGACACTTGCCAAGTTAGTCCAGTCATCTTAGGGGTTTCACCTCGGAATTCGAGATAACCGGCTGTAAATTCGTATAAACCTTTATTTTAACATCCTAAAACATGTCTCAAAACCTACATATGATAGCGTGTGCGCGACTTGTAGATAACTGAGGTCAAAGGCCAAAAAATCGATTTTTTGCGCATTTTTTTTCAAATATCTCGTTCCCTTTCACATTTACGCTATTTGTATTTATTATAAACATTGTAGAGGATAAAATTCTCTACAACTTTGTTTCAAATTTTTTTTTGTACCTCAAACCGTTTTTGAGATAGAGCGGTGAGCGCGGTGAGCGCACAGTCTTTCATTATGTACGGTATCATTCATCAAGTTCAACCTGTAGTCTCGGTCAAAAACACGCCGTATAAAGTCCGAAAAATATATAATTATAAATAATTTACATTTTTTCATAAAAGATCATATTGAATATAATTTTTTTTCTCATAAATTAAGTATATCTTCATTTAATAACACTTACCTCTTTGTACAATAAGAAAATTAAGAAAATTATTAACGTACTCTATCTCATCGGGCGTACTCTATCTCATCGAGAAGAAATGTTCTTAAAAAAAGTTGGAAAATGAAATGTAAAAACTGAAATATACTCTTCCAAAAGTTTTGATAAATATCCTCATTTGAAAAAACACATTTTGTTTCTGCACGCAGTGAGTGACTGTGACACGACTGTGGCGCTCTTCAAAAAAGGAAAAAAAAAAACTTGTAAGAACACTTGAAAAACTTCCGAATTTGGATCAACTTACTGCAGCATTTCAAGATGAAAACTGTCCGGTTCAAAGGTTATTTGAGAATGGAGTGCAAACTTTGTTAGCAATCTATAATGCTTCAAAATCTAAGAACAGCATCGATCATCTTCGTTATACACAATTCATCAAATCAACCAAACTGAATAAACCTGTGCAATTATCAAATCTTCCACCAACAAGTGCAGTAGCTCACCAACATTTCAATCGTGGAGGAAAGAAATCAGGGTTGCCGTGCTCTTTAGCTTGTGGCCAGTGTAATGGGCAAGCTTGTCTCAATTCTTCACCCTATCAGAATGATGCCAATGAAGATGGTACATTTGACCCCGAAATCCTAGACTTGGAGACAAATGTCGCTGAAGATGAAAATGAAAAAGAATTAGAAATTCTACAGCGACCAGACGGCGATGATTAAGAAGAAGAAGAAAACTAAAAATAAAGAACATGGAGTTCTTTTTATTTTTATTCAATTTTTTTTAATTTTAACCATGAGAAATGTATGAAATCGTATTTTTTAATAGACATATAAATTAAAAATGTATTTCTTGTCTTTTTATTTACTTAAAATGTAATTAGTATAAATCTAACTATAATTAAAATGTAATTAAAGTATTTCTGTTAATAATTTTCTAATTGTACAAAGAAGTAAGTGTTATTAAATGAAGATATACTTAATTTATGAAAAAAATTATTATATTCAATATGATCTTTTATGGAAAAATGCAAATTATTTATAATTATATATTTTTCAATAATTAACGGACTTTATACGGCGTGTTTTTGACCGAGACTACAGGTTGAACTTGAATTATACCGTACATTATGAAAGACTGCGCGCTCACCGTCCTCTATCTCAAAAACGGTTTGAAGTACAAAAAAATTTTTGAAACAAAAGTTGTAGAGAATTTTATCCTCTACAATATTTATAGTAAATACAAATAGCGTAAATGTGAAAGGGAACGAGATATTTGCAAAAAATTAGCAAAAAATCGATTTTTTCACCTTTGACCTCAGTTATCTACAAGTTGCGCACACGTCATCATATGTAGGTTTTGAGACATGTTTTAGGATGTTAAAATAAAGGTTTATACGAGTTTACAGCCGGTTATCTTCAATTCCGAGATTCCTACCCTATTTCGACTAAGATGACTAGACTAAGTCGGTAGGCCATTGACCATGATATGGCCGAGAACCGCGATTCGGATTCCGCGTAAACAAAGTAGGCCCCGTCCAGATTAGCCCTGGCAGCAAAAAGGAGACGTTAACTGAAATCTTTACTTTACTTTTTTTTTACTTTTTCCATCTTCGATATCAGTCGTACCAAAGTTTATCGCACGAATGGTTGTCGTCTCGGCGCACTCAGTGATCTGTTTCCCCATTTTCCCCATAGAATTTGCATTCGCCTTTGTTTCTTAGCTCCAATCTACTGAGGTGTTTATTAAGGAGAGTCCTGTTAAAAACCCCGTTACAATCCGAAGATTATTCTTACTTAAAAGAAGGAAAATCTTTGATTTTTTTGGTCTTAAGTTCTGAGAAATTTCTTCCGGTGTCTTGGACCGTTAGAAGATTTCCATTCCAAGTTACGGATGAAGTCTTTCAGGTTCTTGAGTTCTGCTTTAATTTGGTTTCCACTTGGAAATCAGAACGGTTCTGGACCAGTTGGTGGAGTATTTGCTCCTTTTCTAGCTAGATCGTTTGCTTTGCCATTACCTTCCATCCCTTGGTAGGCTGGGACCCAGACCAGGAGAACTTTATGTCCTTTTCCTAATTTGTTCAGCTTCTCTAGACGTTCTTTGACCCAACTTCGTTTGACGAGATTAGAATAATTGCAATATATTAATTACTTACCGGGCATCTAGAAAAATTAGTTTTAAATCCAGACTGGCTCTGAACATGAACATGTTTCCGTGAAGCTTGATCTCGGTGATCGCACTGGGAGGTAAAGAATGGCCCACCGCAACTAAACCCATGTTTTGGAAACAGCCTGGCTCGAACGGACCACCATTACCCAGCGGCACCTGCCTGATTTTTAAATAGCCAGAACAGTGAATGACCTGAAAAAAACGATAACACAATATTAATATTTATTTATTATCTCTTATTAATATATTTTAAGTATAACGGGTGAGTCTCAAAAGTGGGCCATCTCTATAACTTTTTTATTTTTTCAGATTACACAGAACGAAATTTGGTATGTTAGTATATGACATAAATTAGGAATGATTGATGTATTCAATTGTTTTCGGTCACTTCCTGTTTCATCAGAAATGACTACAACCATTTTTAAATGGCACCCTCGGTATTTTGTTACTTTATTCGATAGGAAATGACACTCTGAATAGAATGACATATCTTATGTCAACTTTTGACATTTTCGAATAGGTATGGTTTATTTGAAATTGCAACATGCGCTTCATAAGGATAATTTGACTCGAAATACCAACTGTGTGGTATCTAATTATTCGTAACAAATGATGTCATTTTGAGACGTACCCGGTATAATACCTTTAATGTTTTCTCTATTATTTTTGGAGTTGAGTTAAACTGTCAAATTTAAATTAAATTTTTGCTAAAAGATACTGTGACTGTGAAAAAAATGTCCCTGGATTAGGTTGAATTTTCTATTTTGATTGGTATTATTAACTTCTTCTGTAACAATTTTATTTTATACCACATTTTATCTTATTTTTAAATTTCAAATTAAAAAAATTGGAAACGAAAAGATAGATCCGTGGTATGGGCATAGAGATTGACAATGAATGTTTGTTCACACTTCAATTCGCAGACGGTCAAATAATAGTTGCCAATGATAAAGATGATATGCAATATATGCTAAGAAAACTTATTGAAGAATACGGAGAATGGGGCTTGACAGTTAACATAGCCAAAACAAAATATCTATGTATAAGCGCACAAGAAGGAAACTTGAACTTGGACAACGGTCACGAAATTAAGCAGTGTCAAGAGTATGAGTACCTGGGAATTACATTTGATAACACTGGAACTGACGGCAGAGAAATAGAGAAAAGGATTATCAACGCGAAAAAATAATCGGATGTCTAAATGGAATCTTATGGAGCAAATCAATAACAAAGCGAAGAAAATTCAATATATATGAAACCATGATAAAGAGTAACCTCCTGTATGGAGCAGAAACATGGAGAATAACTGAGAGATACAAGAAGAGGATAGAGGCCGTAGATATTGATGTCATTCGAAGATCAATGAGAATTTCAAGACAACAACGAATAAGAAATAATACCATAAAACAACAAATGGTTATAGAAGGTACGATAACACAGGATATAGAGAAAAAGCAGCTGATCTGGTACGGACATGTAGAGCGAATGAAGGACACTAGATGGCCCAAGAAAATAATCAATTGGCAACCAAAAGGCAGAAGAAAACAGGGAAGACCGAAACTGGAATGGCAAAAAAGCGATGAGTGAAAGAAACCTGTCAACAGAGGATTGTAAATTTGAAATTGGGTATCGGACAACGTAGAAAAACGTTCTAAACCGACTAATATATTTAAATTTCTTCCTGAGAAGGGTACTCTCGATGTACTGTCTCTATTATTATAGGTACCTCTATTATCCCTTCCATATAAGGGCCCCTGTATACTATATACTTTTTACCAGGAATTTATATTATACGGAGTTTACCGAACATACCGGATGTTTTTCAAAAGCGATTCTATAACTTTCCTCTATACCATTTCATTTATTTTCTGAGATAAAAATACAGATTTAGTATGTGTGTGTTACATCGAACTTTAACCGTAACATATGTATATGACATAAATCAGGACTGATTGACGTATTCAAGTACATATTTTTAATTTTTAAATGGTACGTACCCTCGATATTTTTTTACTATATTCGATAGAAAATTACATTCCGAATAGAATGACATCATATATATACTTTTGACATATTTGCTTAAATATAATATTTTTTTTTTATTTTCAACCTAGAACGTCATGGCTGTGATAAAATCACTAAATTTTTACCCAGGAGGAAAAATACATTTGTTCGTCTAATGTTTTTCGTGACTTTTCCTCTCCAGTTAAAAGATGTCCAAGACGTCTTTTTAACGATAAATATTTTTTTTTTCAAATGGAACGAGAGTGGTTCATTTGCATATTTGGAACAGACATTTTTTTAGGAATCGTTTGGTACCACAGACTTGCTATTTCGACTCAAATTGTCGTTGCCGACTGATTGTTTTGAGCGACTCTCACTTTAAATACCCTAGCGGATGTTCTGATAAATTCCATTCCGGAACTAACTGTAACATTCTTTCCATTTCCAGTAATTTCCATTATCAAGTCCGGGATATTCCACCAACGTCCAAGAGATGGCGCGCAATTCGAATCTCGCGTCGGTAATAAAGAAAACACTTAAGCGGTCGTTCGTTCCTCGAAAGATGTCGCCATGGAATACGCTCTTTGACGATATAAAATCTGGCTCAAGTGAAATCCACCCCTAATCGATGTATCTTTCTCTCGTAAATGTAAAAATAGAATTTGCATGTACAGAACTTAGAGAAGTGTACAGAATACATACACACACTAGAAAATTCAAGAGCCAATGCTTGCTTTATTTCCTTTTTTTAAATTGCCTAGGTCGATTTGCATAGTAAAGGCAATAAGCCACTCGCAAACCCCAATTAGGGCCTTATTTTCATTTTCACATCCACGGCATATTCATAGGAATAGTGCTTGTTAGAAGCCGTATATCAGTTCATACATATGGATACTATACCGAACTCTCAGTTGCAAGAAAGAAGTGTCAATAGAAATATATAACTTGATAATGGTAAACCTCTTATGGATTTTGTTATAAGAATATATTTTTTTATTAATACACATCTTTATGAGTATTTGTAAATTTACCCGCTACCTGCGCAATTTTTAAAAATTAAATATTCGACATTATAATTACATAGCTATAGAATAATAAAAATTAGGTTGTAATTTTTCTTTTTACTACTTTCTAAAAGACATTCTAAAAAATGCTGTTTGATAAAAACTACAATCAATTAGCTTAAATTAATATTTTTAAAAATGCAAAAAGATCATATAGATGTTTACAGTTTATTTGACGTGACTAATAATTATATTTGGGGTATATTTTTAAATATTTTAGGAACAAGTTGAGCAGAACTCTGTTATCCTAGTTTTTTAAACATGCATTTAAAGTTTAAATTGAAGCGTATTGGCGTAAGTTAATGTTATTTTAAAGCCACCGAGATACAGAGTAAGTTTTTGAATAAATATTTTCACAATTTTGCTGGATATGATACACACATAGTTTTTTACATTATAAAAAAGTTTTAATTATCTGCTGACGACACCAACATGATTAGCAAAATACACTTTCAAAAAATATAAAAAAGCGTTTTTGTGTTGTTATAACAATAAATGTATCGTATGATCGAAAAAAAACGGCGTCCAGTTGGCTTAGATATCAACATGGATGACATTCCCCATATAATTTTACATATAAAATGACAGCGATCTTCATTTCATAGCCATCGCTAACGCCGTTTTTTTTTGATCATATGGTGCCAGGCCTCAATGGTATTGTTACAATACCATTGAACTCTTGTTTTTTTAGATATTTTGTCACTCAATATTGCTTTTTGCGATTGGCAGGATTTTTTTTAATGTTCTGCCATGGCTTTTGTGTGGTCCGAACTGTATTCCGGAAACTTCGGCAGCATATTCTGCAGATTAAAATAAGTAAAAAAGTTCGTATAAATGTATGTCCTAAAATGCTTAGTTTCGGAGATACAGGGTGTAGAATCTTCATTCTTATTTCGATTTTTGCCAAATAATTTAAGAAGTAATGTCAATATTTGGATGAAAATTGGTGTCTGGGAGTTTTTGGACATGAGAAATTTGATTTTCATGTCAATATGACTCCTACTTGTAGAGGGCGCCACCTACATATGCTTTAACTGGTTTGAAGAGTAATAACTTTTCATCCATACCTGTATATAAACTACTGAGTAGAAAAATATACATTTATAACTTTTTTTGCATAAAAAAGGTCTCTTGGTAAAAATCGCTACGAGTAATGGTTCTCGAGATATTTGAAATTGAAATTATCAATACCTGTCATCATTGACAAATTAAACATGTTGATCAAATAGTTGTTAGACTGAAATCTTAAATTTGAAATCTTTTTGTGCCAAAAGTTCAACAGAAACTGTTTAATCATCATTTTTCCGCAGGAAATTTTATGATTAATTTAAAAAAATAAAAATTTATTTTTTCAGTCAAATAACTATTCAACGTGTGCTTATTTTTTGTCAATAATGATATGTTTTGACTATTTCCATTTTAAATATCTTGAAAACGGTTGCTCGTAGCGATTTTTACCAAGAGACATTTTTTACGTAAAAAGTCATGGAAATGTATATTTTTTTAGTCAGTAGTTTTATACAGGTACGGACGAAAAGTTACGCATTACTCCTCAAAACAGTTAATACACATGTGGGTGGCGCCCCCTACACATAGGAGCCATATTGACATCAAAATCAAATTTCTCGTGTGCACAAAACTGCCGGACACCAATTTTCATCCAAATATTGACGTTACTTCATAAATTATCTGAAAAAAATCGAAATAAAAAAGAAACTTCTACACCCTGTATCTCCGAAACTAAGCATTTTACGACATACATTTATACGAACTTTTTTACTTATTTTTATCTGCAGAATATGCTGCCGAAGTTTCCGGAATACAGTTCGGACCACCCTGTATATTATTTTAAAAATTTTTTGTTATTGAGAATACCCAAATTCAAAATTTTTTTTCAATATCTCATTTATAAAAAAAAATAGTAACTTTTTTGGCAAACCCTGTATGTATGTTGTAGGAAAGATATTTTTTGTTGCTCTAGATAATAATTTAAAAAAAATGACATAATAAATTTTATGTTAAAGAAAACGCCATTAAACAGTTCTGTAATTGATATTGGCGTTTCACAATATACAGTTTATTATAATAAATCGAAAAAAAATGAAGATTTTAATCCCTTGTAACTACGAAACAAAGCAGAATCGGACCTATGTTTATATGAAAAATAAATCTTATTTTTACGAGAGGAATCTCCCCACGAGAGATGGCACTTGTTTTTTGAAACACTCTGTATTTTTAATCTTTTTTAAAGCTCATTATTTAAAAAAAACTAAACAAAGGAAAGCTGAAATAAAAATATTTATGCAATTTATTTTTAAAAACTGCCTACCACGGATTTTATTGTTATAAACAATATTTGTTAATAAACAAATATAAAAATTAATTCTGCATATTTTAATTTTTATAGCCGAGCGGGCGTTGACGAATTCTTAGAAATATAATAAGTTTCTAGTGTTTTAAATTTATATTATAGGAAATTATTTTTGTTTACAGTATGTCCCCGGATTGTCTTTACAAGAGGAAAGACTTTTTTATTATTGACATTTTAAGAAAAATGTATTTTTCATAAAAAATTCTGCTTCTTCTAAAATGGTTAATTCCGTTTATACTTTTCCACACCGTTTTAGAGAAAATTGAAAAAAGCATGAAAATCAACCACCAATGTATTATGATTATTTTATTATTATGTTGTATCATATATTAGGCTCATCAGTGCTATTTGTCCATCTACAACTCTTCAAGAAATGGCAGAACATATTCCATGTTTGATGTCTGTGCGATAGTTTGCCAAATGTTGTCTCTTTGTACTTGGTACAAGAAGATGACAAGACATTAATAAGGAGCTTTGGTGATTATTCATTAATAAGGAGCTTTGGAGATGACAAGACATTAATTAGGAGGTTCAGTCTCCAAGTTATTAACCTTTGGGATACGACAGTAGAATACAATCTAGAGATAAAAGGAACACAATAGATCTGAAAAAAAAAGAAATCACTGAATTACAAGCAGTATACACTAGCCACCTTTCTAGATATTGAAGGGGCTTTCAACAAAGTAAATGTGGAATCTATCCAGGCAGCCATGAGACAGGCGGGTGTAGAGGGAACTCTTAATTATTGAATCGTAAGCATGTTGCAGACGAGAATTATACACGCCGATCTGGGAAACAGTCGCATAAATAGATACGTGAATAGAGGAACGCCACAGGGGGGAGTAATTTCTCTGCTCTTGTGGCGTTCAGTCATGAATGATAACTATAACTCGACAGAGAGGGTTTCAAGGCAGTTGTCTATGCTGATGACCTAGCAGTACTAATCAACGGCTTTCCCTGCCCGTAATGAGTCAAATTACGCAGTCAAACCTTAATAAAATAGCGAACTGGTCCAAGAAATGTGGACTAAGTGTCAATCCAGGAATCCAAGGTTAAGTATTTAGGTACAATCCTTGATCCGAAACTAAACTGGCTAACCAAGGTAGAAGAAAGAATAAAAAAGGTCAACGTTGCCCTCTACACGTGTAAAAAAATGATAGGTAAAAAGTGGGGACTCCAACCGAGTATGACTAAGTGGATATATACTGCCATAGTGCGACCGATCCTCACATATGGATCCCTGGTATGGTGGCCAACTTTGGAGAAGACAACCAATATTTCCGAGCTTGGAAAGGTACAGAGGAGTGCGTGTGTGTGCATTAGGGGAGCGTTAAGATCGACGCCCACAGATGCTCTAAATGTGTCCTCCACCTCCTCCCATTAGATCTTCATATTAAAAATCTGGCCTCTAGTAGTGCAGCCAGGCTCAGAGAAACTGGTTGCTGGACCGAGAAAGTTTACGGTCACAGCAGTATTCTTGGAAGGTTATCAAAGGATATTATTGCTGGACCATCAGACTATCTGACACCTAGGTTGGAACTTGGCAGGAACTTTTTAGTCATAATTCCAGACAGACTCACAAACTACCGAAGGAATTTGATATTGCGCTATTTACTGACGGATTCAAGATCGATTCAGGTGTAGGTTTGGGGGTGTTCTCGAAGGGTCTTGACATCGCAAGGTTTTGCCGGCTTCCGGATAGATCAAGTGTTTTTTTTCAGGCAGATACATGTCATTTGGAAGGCCTGTGAATGGTTTAGCGAGGATACACCTTATGGGCGGAAAACTGCGATAATCACTGATAGCCAAGCAGCCATATATCGGTGCTGAACTCATCAACCATATCCTCCAAAATAGTCAAAAAAACGTACGACAAGTTATCCTACATGGCAAGTAGGTATGATATAACCTTGCTTTGGGTTCCAGGCCACAGGAACATCGAAGGGAACGAACGCGCTGATGAACTTGCAAGGCGAGGATCGTGCCTTGAGCTAAATGCATCAGAGGAAGTTTTTACTCCCCTCAATATCATAAAAAAAGACATTTACCACCATTTTCTGTATATGGTGAACAGTAGATGGAAAACTTTAAGCACCTGCAGGATAGCCAGGAAAACTTGGCCCAAATATGACCTTATGAAATCGGGAGAGCTCATAACTAAGTCGCGTAAGGATATCGCCAGGCTTACGGCGGTATATACGGGGTACTGGCCAATTGGCGAACATGCGGCGAGAGTGGGCATCCCTTTTAACGAAGTTTACCGAAGCTGCAAGGACCCGAAGGAAGGGGAAACGGTTCTGCATTTCCTGTTCTGCTGTCCGGCTTTGTATAGGACTCACAACCGTTTCCTCGGTGATTAGAGCCTTGTAAATCTTGAAGATGTTGCTGGGAAGAGCATAGCGGAAGTCACCCGTTACATTAATGCCACCGAATTGTTATAAACAGTTAATAGTTCAACTGTTAATCGTTTCCATCCCTAGGGATAGGGTCTCAGACTGAATGGTTTTAAAACGGCAATTCTGCTAATTGGAGTCCGACAAGCGGTCGCACTCGCCACTTCAAGTAACCAACCAGACCTGAAAAGGTCGTAGTCGAATAGGATAATACTCACCTCATAATCAAATCTCAAAATTGTCATCAAATAAAATCATTAGGTAATTACATCTACGGTTCTTACCTTATATCCACCATTCGTTAGGCCGGCGTTTCGTTTTGCCAACACGCATTTCATCCTCAGGAAGAAGGCCCTGTCGATCTCGTAGTCGGTTAGACTGGTACCTTGGAAAGGTAAGGCTGGAGCTAGGACGTTGCTCATTTCCTCGTGGTCCGCCGGATGGATATACTCGTAGATGCTGTTTCCGGTCAATTCTACCTGAAAGAAAGCGTGCGTCTATATTAAGATAAGAAGGAATACAATTTGAATTGTTGAAGTTAACTAATTATTATACATTGTATATTATTATAACTTATATTTAAACCAACTAGTATGTAAAAACTAACGCGTATCGTAAACGCCACGAATGTTTGGGAGTGATTCATCGCTTGATGAAGTTAGAATCGACACGCGCGCTATCATTTTTACATTAAAAACGTAAATTTTTACCACAGACGTAGGTTTTTAAAGGCCCGGTTTAAATTAATCATCTGCCTGCGCTCCTCCTACTTATTCTAAAATGTTAGCGTGATTGACAAAGACGATATCATATACGTATTATTTACAAATATACTCAGGGCTCCCTATTTAACCCCGTGTGCAATTTCTGTGCCGTAAGAAAAAGACAACATAACCCAGCTCCATATTAAAACTGCATAAGTCTATTTCACCCGGATATAGATTGAACTGCGATTGTGCCAAACTCCCATTGATTGTTGTTTTAGTTCTGTTTGGATTAATTTTTATTTGTGCGCGTAAAAGAGTGATTTTGTTTAGTTTATTGTTTCCAACTATTTTTTGATATTTTTCCAACTCCATGATAATGTGTTTGGTTTGGTTTGGTAATAAATAATAAAAATATAAATAAAATTGAAGGTTAAAACTTCTTCAGATGAGGCATGCGCAGTTAAATGAATATCCGGGTGAAATAGACTTATGCAGAATTCCATATTGTTCTTTCACTGTTTGGGCTTCACTTTTTGGAGATTAGGCTGAGTATATTTGTAAATAATACGTATATGGACGATACTATATCGCGTTTCTTTGATTGATTCGTTTTTGTGCGTCAGTCCATTGGTGTGCTTGCAGTGCGACTAATGGGGCATTCCATTTTATATTTATCACCAAATATATGTTTTGACAAGACTTTGACAGTTAAAACAACAAATTACAACAGATTATATATTGATTATTATATGACTTGAAACACCACGGCACTGGAATTAAGTTTTATGTGACTTTGAACAGATTAGTTCAAATGGTAGCGACCGATGAATCACTCCCAAACATTCGTGGCGTTTACTATAGGAACTTTTTAATATATTGTTACGAAAATCCCTTTAAATAGGGAATCTTTCCATCTCTTAGTATGCGTCGCATTTCGATAACTTTCGAGCGACCGAACAGTATGATATACAGTATGTCTCCGGATTGTCTTTACAAGAAGAAAATATTTTTTATTATGGACATTTCGAGAAATATACATTCTTCAAAAAAAAATTTTGCTTGTTCTAAAACGGTTTATCCCGTTTACACTTTTCCAAATTTCCATACCGTTTTAAAGAAAATTAGAAATAGCATGAAATTATGGTTGAATTTTTTAGAAAGTCCTAATTTTTTTAGAAGTCCTAAAAATCCAAAGTCGTTTCTATGGTTATATAATTTAAATTTTATTCCTATGAGTTTATTCTTTGATAGATGGTTATTATACATTTTGATTAACGTCATATTTTTTGCTGTTGTTAAAGTATCAATTTTCCGATAACTATTATCAATCACCCTCTCAGTAGCCTTGAACAAAATAAATTTTGTGCTTCTTTAACATTTTAAACAGCGAAAAATAGAATTAGTTAATTAGATTTTTTAAAATTTTATCAATAAAAATCTATCAAAGAATGAAAACGAAATTACATTACCATAGAAACGCGTTTTGATTTTTAGAACTTTTTTAGGAAAAAAAATCAACGATAATTTCATCTTTTCTTCAATTTTCTCTAAAACGGTATGGAAATCTGGAAAAGTATAAACGGGATTAACCATTTTAGAAGAAGCAAATTTTTTTATGAAGAATGCATTTTTTCTCAAAATGTCAATAATAAGTGTTTACTCTTGTAAAGACAATCCGGGGACATGGATACTGTATATAGAACAATATATTTAAATCTATTTAAATCAAACGAATTTGAGGAGTAAATTGTCAGGTCAGCAAGGTGTAGAATTAATATTAAGAAATACATAGAAAAATAAGACAGATTTCTTTTACCTGTGATAACCCCAAATGTACAGAGGCTGTCTCTGAAATATACATAATTTTTCCATCTTGAGCTACCACGAAAATAAAGCCGTCCAATGTTTGGAGCAAACAGGAACCCAGCTCCTTTAAGAGTGTTTCCCTAGGGTTTGGCATGACTGGAGTTGCTCCCCAGGCGTCACCTAGTCCTGTAAGTTATAATAAAGTATTTCCATTAATTAATTATTCATGTATTATGTCATTATTAATCATGCAAGCCATCCATAAAGATTTTTAGTAACTTTTTTTTTCTTGTAAAGTTAAAAAGTGATGTCATAAACGTTTTCACACTTCCAAATATTTTTTACGAATTTCTTAGTTAATTTTATGTATATTTGAGAGTAATTAAAGTTACGTAATTGAGGAATAACTGGAATTTAAATTTCCCGCAGGCGATTCATGTGGCAGCTCTGTTGTAAAAAATGACAAGTTGCCATATTTATTTATTGATTTCCTGACATTGTCATTCGTTTTGATACTTTAGTTTTGTATTACGAGTTTTTGGTTTAAATAAATAGTGTTAAAAAGATTACGAGACGCATTGAAGAATCGCATCGACGAACCGCAGCAGCGCATAGTAAGTATGGAGCTTTAAATCTTCATTTAAATTCTATCGACATGCTTTATTAAAATTATAATTTTTTATTAATTCGTAATAGTGCTGAAAAAGTTGAATATTTGGAGATTATACATATGTCAAATTATAAGTTACACTCTATAACAAATAAAATAGTTAAAATTTGAGGTAAATAGCTTGAAAATGTTGATTGTTATAACTGAATTCGAATTTAGAGTAATTAAACACGTTTTATTTGTTACTGATAAAAAAATGCGTAACAAAAATACGTAGGTGCTATTATTTTTTTATTAAAATTAGCTGCGCTTAAAATAATCTTAATTATTCAACTTTTGTAATGGAAATTTTTTAAATCTTTCTTAAGATACGAAAATTTATTATACTTCGTGGCGATAAGAAAAGTAGTGTACCTACTTTTTTATTAAAGGCTTTCAATGTAATTTGATTTTCGTTTTGCGTCAATGTCAGTTGATGTATTTGTCAAATTCGACATTAAAAATACTTAACCTTAGCCCCCCTTACCAAATTTTGAAAAAATTACATTCTGCGAAAAGATGATAAAAGTCGAATTTTAAGGTTTTGTACATTCAAATAGTTTCTACAAATTTCTTGGGTAATTTTTAACAAAATAAAATTAACATAGTGTCCAAAATTAACTAATAGTCAGTCAAATTAACACTAGACCCCCTGAACAGCACTTCAGAGACATAAAGGGTCATTACTACCGCTTCCCCGTTCAAAATATTCTCATAAAGTTGCGATGAGTTTTTTATGGCTATTAAGCTCTCTTGTACCACCTCGCACTAAAAGAGGTTTTAAAAAGAACAATGTTCGACTGCAAGGTCTGCATAGTAAACATTTTCAAGCTTAAAGTATCACAACATAATTAATTTAAACCAAAAACTTGTAATACAAAATACAAAACTAAAGTGTCAAAACGAATGACAATGTCAGGAAATAAATAAATGTGGCAACTTGACATATTTTACAGCAGAGCTACCACCTGAATCTCCAACGGGAAATGTAAATTCCAGTTAGTCCGCCCGGCACCAAATATGTCCATAGTTGGCAACAATGAATTTAATAATCAAGCCCTCGATGACGTAACCAAAAATTTAATTGGTATCGCTTATAGGTACTCAAACGTATCAGGGGTGCAACTTTGTTCATGTTTCAAAGTGATAGTAAAGTAATTTGTAGCTTGAGGCACTATGTTCAGTAGCAACATCGATTCGTAGCGATATTCTGATTTCTCGCTTTGTGGCGAGGCGACAGACTAGACCGTGTCGCACACGTGTGCAAGAGTGTGATAGTGATACCATATTTCGCAGCATTTGAGCGACAATAGTTTTACAATGAACATAGTACCGATTACCGATCTGGCTTAGACATCGCTTCTAAACGATCGGTTGCTAACTTGAACAAAGTTGCACCCCAGGTTTAATTTTTATGCCATTAAGGTCCCCATTTACTAGGCGATTTTGTAGCAACCGAGTTAAGCGATAAAATTGCTTCTAAATTTCTTTGAAATTTGGTTTCTTGGAACGGACCATTTATAAGGCGACATTCAAGCAATTTGGTTGTCAATCAATTCTTCTGGAAATTAATTTCATTCTCCTGTTCACATACAACCGCCGCGCCGGTTGCCGACGTCCACTGATTGGGCGATCCTCGTATAATCTTTGTAAATTGCTAGCAATCGCAACCCGATTCACCTTCCCATAGACTAATGTCATGTACTAGAGATAGATTGGACACTGATATAAAACAAATGGGTCCGTCATTTAGAGCCACCTGGTGATCCGGAAGAAACTAATGGAGAGTTTTGGCATAACATAATTTTAGCGTTCCGTTACTTATTAACGCTAACTAAAACGGTAACGTTATTCAAGCTCAAAATTACTCCTTGTAAAATATAAAATAATAAATATAGACTTTTTTGTTGCCCCCATTTTATGTTTTATTAGATCATTAGAAGTGTAACATAATTAAAACAAAATTAAAATATTTACATACATTTTAAATACCAACAATAGAGCACATAGCGCCTATTTTTTGATTTAACAAATAAATTATATAGCAAAAATATTATAGATTACTAATTAACTATTACAAAAAATACTATATATTACCAACTATGTACTTACTTATTTATGATTAAACTATTTTTTTTATTTGGTTCATACATTTATAATTTCTAAAATGTCAGAATGACTTTAATAAAAAAGTTTAGTATCTAACACGAAAATGATAACGACTCTAAATATCAGAATGCACAAACTAATAAAAACACAAACTATAAACACAATTCACTGAAATCACCGAACTTTCCGATAAATCAGGAATATCTGAATTAATGATTATTTATATCATTATTTATTAAATAATGATCAAAATAATGATTTAAAAATAACTTGACGGATCACCAACATTTTGTCAACATGATGTCAACTAGACAAAAACTAGACCACAGACAATAGTCAACATAGGGACTGTCATGTCATCTTCATATATAAATTAGAAACCTGTACTTTAATGTCTTTTGCGCCGTCTGGCGATGCGGAAGAAACTAAATTTGGAGTTCTATAAAATTACCATCGAGTGTCTAGGGCATGCACCTTCCGCACTGTAAATCAAAAGATTGCTTGGCAACGACAATATCGCTTTCAATTTGATTGAAATGACGCCCTAACCTGGAGATCTTTCGAGAATTTGATCGAAAGCGACTAGATCGCTCGATCGGATTGCTCGTTTATCGCCTCGTGAATGGCAGCCTTTAGGAATCCAATTTAAATCAACCAATTGAGGCCAAAGACGAAAAAACATATACCTAATATAGCAACTTCTTTTTTTTTCTTGTATAAAATTGGACACGGATTTTTTTTTCAGTAAGGTCTTACAAAAAGTGATTTGCATTTGAACGGCCTTTATCGTATCTCGACTAATTCATCGGCATTTCAATAAAAGATCCTTCTTACCTGATAATTGTACGCCGACCGCTATGAATAAAAGTATTTTTCTTTCAACTGAGATGAAATCATCACACGTGTGAAAATGTTCTTTTTATTAAAGCCGGTCTTTTTATGATTTGTATTGAGATAACCCGCCATCAGGGGTGTTATTCTAACAAATTCGATCTGTTAAAATTAAATAATTATGATAACGAGATAGGTAATTCATATTTTCATATAACTGTCTGTAATAGTAGTTTATAGTTCATATCAAAAAATAATCAAAATCAAAATAAATCACGTGATTAAGCTTGACCGGCACAGGGTTGCCCACTTTTACATATTTTCTTTTAATCAAAATATTTTAGGAAACAATACTAAACTAATTATAAATATATAAACAATTATTATTTACATCAACAAAACTCACCTTCTTAACAGCACTTAAGGGACATAAAGGGCCATTATTACCGCTTTCCCGGTTCAAAATATTCTAATAAAGTGGCAATGATTTTTTACGACTATAAGCTATCTTGTACACTTCGCACTAAAAGAGATTCTAAAAAGAACAATGTTCGCCTGCTAATGCCCACTTGCACCGTTTGTATAAACTTTGTTTAAAGGTTAAACAGTGATTAACTATAATAATATATTATATAGTACATTCGTAGTAAGTAATAATATATTATATAGTTAATCACTGTTTAGCCTTTAAACAAAGTTTATACAAACGGTGCAAGTGGGCATAAGTCTGCTAGTAAAAGTTTTTAAGCTTCAAGTATCACAACACAATTCATTTAAACCTTTGATTTAAACCTTCTTATAAGATTTAAACCAAAATCTCGTACTACAAAACTAAAGTGCCAAAACACAATGACAATGTCAGGAAATAAATAAATATATGTGGCAACTTGACATTTTTTACAACAGAGCTACCACCTGAATCCCCAGAGGGAAATTTAAATTCCAGTTAGTCAGCCCAGCACCCAAAATGTCCATAGTTGGCAACATTGAATTTAAAATCGCGCCTCGAATTAACTATCTTTCTTTCTGAGCATACTTATACTGCAGAGCGTCTATTACAAAGGGGGACGTCCTCTTTTATCACAACACTACGCGTATAACCAATAGTATAACGCCATGTTACAGATTGCAAATGTAACATATTCAGTATTCACGATTTGGGAGCCCAATATTATATAGAGTAACAGAAACATTTTATGGTTAAAAGTATTTTCTTTTGCTCGATACGCTTGGAAGAAGTTCTCGCCTGAGTGTCTAATGGAGGTATCTATATTTGATATTTAAATAAGGAGACGGGTTTTGTGTTTGTCTTTGACACTTACCGTCGGGAAAAACCTGTCTCATCTTGAGGTAGGACGTGGTCAGCCTGCTGATGAACACCTTGGCCATCTGGGCAGTACAGGCATTAATATATATAAAGAAAGGACTGCGCAAGACCAGTTCTTCAGAGGTTAATTTATCTTGACCCTACCCATCAGTTGAAAGTTTAATCTTTATAGACCACGGTTTATCGCAATCAGTCTCAAGATTAAGTACAACCTGATGAAAGATTGTGCTGTGGAGACCAAGCAGATTACATATATGCAGACTGGCAAAC